ACTATTTTTATTCTCAGCTTGTTTTCCATTTTTCTTTCATATGAATGCCATGCTTACCTTTTTATCTTTACTTGGCCAAACTTGTACTTTCTTTTTTGTTAGTACCATTGCTTCAAGTTGTTGACCACAGGTATACTTGAGCTAAACTAAGCTATGAAAAGGTGTTTACTATCGTGTTCAGTGTCCGCCACTGTGTAGTGTACTGGAACTGCACCATGAGAACTGGACAAAGTCTGGTCTTCTTGGGAGGAATAGTATATTTCTCAACTACACTTTGACTACACTTCAGTTTGACAGTATCGTTATCATACCAAATTATAGGACAGAAAGGTCAAATGTTTTAGAGAATTAGTAATTTACAGTGTCCCGAGTTAATGTAAATCTTTTTTTTTTCCTGAGAAAACATGAAGTATTGAAGATAGTAAATTTGTTTGTGTATATATATAATGAAATATGTAGCTTCAGTACTATTTATTACATTAATTGTTATTTTCTGTTGTAAGGGTGGAGGTTGGGAGTTTCATATAGTAGAAATTTTAGTGTGGTTTTATTTCTACTTCAGGAACTTTAATAACTTTTAAGGGTAACTGCTTTCCCACAACTGGCTGCAGACAGTGAAGGGCAGTAGGAGTTGAGACAGTGTGGGCATAAAAGCACTTAACTCCATATCCTTAATTAATTAATTGATTTTCCATGTTAGCCGGCTTGTTTAATATCAGTGGTTGGATTTCGTCTGATAGATGGGATATTCCCATCACATTCAAGAGCTATTACCACAGGCATTATCCACTATGACTTTAAGGTAACAACTAGAAATGACAATGAAAAGTTAACAAAAAACTCCTTAATGCTTATTTTATATGAAATTTTAGATACATCTTTGATAAATCATAATAACATTTTACTGTAAGATGTTAATGAACTGGATGGACTTTGATTACTAATTCATTACAGGCATGGAAGAAATGTCATCCAAACCATTTATAGAATTTTGATGTTTTCCAAAACAAATACACACTTGTATATAAGATGTAAAGATTCTGTTAAGGTTATCTAACAAACCATGAGCATTTAGCATGTTAAAATGTGTACAAAATAATAAAATTTTAAGGCTGTATTTAGTTCACTTTCCCTCCTGAAACTGCAAATTAATTATCAGCATGGGCTCATAACCATTTTGTGCTTGTTATACTTTCAATGCTATAACTTTTAAATTTGTAAGTGAATGTTAATGAAATATGGCAGATTATCAGTAAACATTACAATGCTTTCATACACAAAATATCAATTTTTTTTATTAAGTCTTAAGATTTGTAAAGCAATGTTTTTCTTATGCCTTTTTTATATTTTCGCATGTTGCTTATTTAACATTCAAAGTAATTTTTATTTCAAGAAAAAAAATACTTTTATGCATCAGAAAAGGTTCAAATTACACATGCACAATCTTTATAGTGTCCAGATAGTTATCAAACGTTTTTAAAAAAAACTTTATATTTTATCTGTTATTTTCAGTAATGAACCTGTGTACAGGTTTGGCAGATTTGACCAATCTCTTAACCACCATAAGAAATTAGGAAATAAATATAAATTATGCCTCTAATTCTAGAATGAATACAAATTATAACACAAAAACATAAATGTGTAGACTAAATAGCTTAAATCTGATAACATTATACATTTGTATATATTTATTATATTGACCTTTCACCGTGCCTGGCTAACAATACACAAGTCACAATGATGTGGCACATATGCACTCATGTTACCGTATTCAATAACATGAAACTGATCTTTGTTCTCTACAAAGTAACCTGTCTTGGCTGTGTCTAATAAACTAGCACTTTGTAAAATACAGTCACATTTCAATTATTATACATTATATATGTATATAGATCATTGCTATTTAGAAATAAGTTCTTAAACTTATTTTTCTTAAAACATAGAACAGTAAATAAAGAAGTAATGCAAATAATTATCTCTTCTAGGTACGACCTTTGTACTCAGTTGCTGCTTGACGTAGGCTGCTAAGCCTTTAAAAATTTTGCATGTGAAGGATATGAAACAAAATGTTTTTTTTAGGTTTTATATATACATTTGAATAACTAAAAAAATCATAAATTACTACATCAATACCATAGAATTCAAATATAATTTATCAACTAAGCTGTATTTTAGTCTAAAAAATATGAAATTTCGAGCAGACTAAAAATAACACAATCTACCTCCCTGAAATCTTGATTCAAAAGAAAGAAATGACATCCTATAAATTTAAAATGGCCAAGAAAGCCACTAGGAGGACATTCTGAGCTTTTGATTGGTTATATAAGTAAGTGTATATAAGGGAGCATTTTCAAAAGTGGAAAGAGGTGGGTGGAGTACCACTGTGTTTGATTTATTACATGAGCTTAGCAAATTGAAAAGATAAGAAGCTCCTATTTTATATTCTAGCTTGTAAATATTGGTAATTTGAGTTTCTAATTCATGCAAAACTACGGACTTAGTATTTTGACTTCACAAACATCTAATTTGAACCAATGCTGCATTAAATATACCATGTGACAAACAAAAATTGATGTTTATCTGTGTTTTTTAATATTTACTTTTAAATCAAGAAATTGATTAATGTATAGTACTAAAAT